ATTTTATATCTAGAAAATGTGTTGGGTAAAACATGGGTAGATGTAATCGTTGCTATGCGACCAAATAAAATAATGACAGGCCTCAATATAGATGTTATTGACAGTCATCTAGCGGAGTATAGATGACGACCACGGACTATTCTAGACAGTCCAGTGGAATGATAGTTGGCTCGCAACCTGTAGGTTTTTATTTGAACTGTGTGCTCACCAACAGTACTCCATCCCCCACATGGTTGCCTTATTTGACATGAATTGCTGAGGAACCCCCTAAGCATGTGTTGTCACCCCGATGAAAGTCCCTTAGACTAGGTCCCTTGTGTTAGATGTTTTAGGGATGTAAAGTGAGGATAACGGGAATGGGTAATCGGGTTTGTTTGCTATGATAAAGTTAATAAACTTATTTATTATGGGTTGAAAACCATACGTACTCACCAGGTTTCCCAACCTGACCCACTCAGTTTATTTATATCACAGGTGTTGATATGAAGTCACATTACACTAAGGAGGTATAAATCACTAGTAATAATGAATGTAAGTTCTGTTTAGGCTTATGTTTCTGTATTGACAACGACATCCCAAATGTTTTAAAATGAATAAAAATACTTTTCTTCGGAAATGCTTTGATAACATATTTATCATGTTTTACTGTGAACAAATTCTGCAAATGTTTTTATTAAAAGAGGTACTCTGATTTTTATAAAGCATAAACAAAATCGGTCTTTTCTGGCCGTGAGAATGGGGATGTCACAAAACCGTGTTGAACAAGTATACATCGATACTGAAAGCAGGGTCAACGTGATTTACGAACACTGCCTTCGGCAGTTACCGATTGAATGAGTTAAGCACATCCAGTTACCACGCCAGGGCACGCTAGTTGGGTTCACCGGTCATGGCATCTGGCCAACAGGAACAGTCACGCTCCGATTTACATTAATCAATCATGATGAAGCCAAACAAATAACAAGGGCGCTCGAATTCTCATTCGTTGACCGCCCGACTGATCACAATATCCTATTAGGCCGACCAGCACTGTTCCAACTACAAGCAATCTCTTCTACCTTTCACGACCTTCTCAAATTCAACGTGGGTGATGGATCGACAATGGTAGTAGCATACAAGACAGGTAATGGATGTGACGCCCAATGAGGAATGAAACCAGAAACCCGATTGCCTCGGAGCAACGGCTGCCTGCAGATGGAAGATCCACAATGGAAAGAGGCAACAACATAAGTGTTGACCTGTGAGACTAGGAAAAGACATCAAGGTGTATTCAACCGGATCACAACGTCTCTCCCCCAAGGGAGGGACGTGCTGGCATAATGATGCATCAGCCAAAGTATGAAGCGAAGATCACAAAGAAAAAAAAGCACCTACTCATGGGTGAAGGCAACAGCCAGGCCCACAACCGATGACCGAGCCGTGACCAACTAGAAAGCAATCCGAAACTCAAAGAGCATATTGCCCAATGCAGAATATCCATGGAATGAAGGGAATGGGTACTGAAGCCAAGGACAAAGTGCTAATCCTCCCACCATGAAAACTTTTCTACGGGAGAAAACTGGCAGGCACCCCGACGCACTAAACGGCACACCAGGCAATGGCGTCAGACGCAAAGTTGATAGACGAGCCAGACAATGTGAAGGGAACTCTCACCAGGCAGCATGGAGTCACCTCCCATGGCTGCATCCTACACTGTGTCAAGAAGAAAGGAAAGTCCATACACCTCGAGAGTATGAACAACAAAGTTCATCTCGCTCATGTCGGGAACCGCTGACAAAGGCAGATGGGAATTCCAACCCATTAAAAGGCACTCACCGCAGATTAGGCATAGAAACACAGTCGAATGGGGTAGCCATTGCAGAGCACCCACTTGAAAATAAAGTGAGGGCCTAACAAAAAGAGTGTGGTCGAACTCTACACAGCATAACCATACTCCATAGCAGAAAACTCAATCAAAAATAAAGCGGAGGTCTGGCGAAAGGAGTACGGTCGAACTCCGCACATGATAACCATACTCCACGTGCCAAAGCGAAAACTGGGCATATACCCTAACACTTAAACATTCAGGGTCTACTATCTTATGTCTTTCTTTATTTTTCAAGAAATAATATTATTTGTGTGACATCCCCAAAATCTCGGCCAGAAAAGACCGATTTTCATTTATGCTTTTCAAATAAATTCAAAGTAAATCCTTTTGATTTGAAAGAGTTGCGGAATTTGTTCCTAAAAACAAAACATTATAAAACAATGTTTACCAAAGCATTTCATAAAAGAAATGTATTTTTCATTATATAATCAAAACTCGGGGTGTCATGTTCCGATATAGACCAACAAGCATAAACGATAACATTACAAGTCATTCAACAAATATTTACATATACAGACTTGTAAACAAAACAGCTTGATGGTTCATCCATCTTACGCCCTTGCGCCACTTCCTGTAATACAAATAAAACTTAGTGGGTCAGGCTTGGGAGCCTGGTGAGCATATAGGTTTTTCAACCCATAATGAATAATTAAATTAATTATTATCTACCAACAATAACCCAGTTACCCATTCCCGTTATTCTCACTTTACGTCCCTAAAATAACTAATACAAGGGACCTAATCTAAGAATATTTTCATCGGGTGACAACACATGCTGCGGGGGTTCCTCAGCAATATAAGTCAAATAAGGCAACCATGAGGGGGATGGAATACAGCGAATGAACACCCAAGTTCATTAACACCTACAGGTTATGAGCCTGCTAGCGTTCCACTGGACTATCTAGAAAAGTCCGTGGTCGTCATCTAAATTCCGCTAGATGACTGGATCAAAACAACAACGAGGCATTTCATCTGTTTATTACACACCAACTATCTACCCATGTTCTACCCAGCATATTAGTAGATAAAAACATACATTTTTATACATATTTTCAAAACCTGTATAGCATGCTTGATCAATACATTTTCCATATAACAGATGAGGCACACACACATAACACGTATTTCATATAGAAATAATCATATCTGTAAGATAGAAGAAAGTGAATATACATTCACACACGTAACAACAAAATATACACATAACACGTATCTCGTATAAAATACTTCATAGTTATACGTTAGGAGAAAGTAACAACGCATTCACACGTATAAACGACAATAAACTTAATACACTCAAACCATACTTGTATTATTATTGCGTTTATCAAAGGTAGTATACACTCACTTGATCAGAAGATGATCGGACAGCACTACGGCTTGCAGAAGTTGTATTCCTCAGCAGATCTGGAAGATCTTTACAAAAATCGAACTTCTCGTGGGCAGAGCTTCGGCTCGGAAACCGCACTTCTCGAGATCTTCGGGATCTCGGGACTCGCTTCGGGACTCGGGAATATTACCGGGGCTTTGGGATGGCTTCGGGGGTAAAAACGCAGAGCTTCGGCACAAAAACGAGAGGAAATTAGCAATTAAGCCCGGACCCCTCGCATCCTATTTATAGGAGGCTGGAACCTCCTCGTACGAGGGGCGTACGTCTGTACGCGGGGCGTACAGGCTTCGAAATGCGTCACTGCATGCGTCATCCAAAGTGTCGACACTCTGGCTGTACGCGGGGCGTACTCGAGTGTCGACACTCGGATCAGATTTGTGACTCGCCTTCGGATAATACCGAAATTAAATAATTAAATTTAATTATTAATTATTTAATAAACTTCGAAAATTCATATCTTCTTCATACGAACTCCGTTTTTCGACATTTTTTATATCCACGCGAAGGTGAGACTACGCTCTACAACTTTCGTTTAGATTCTGTCGGCTAATTTTGACTTTATTTTTATTATTTATTTTTAATAGGCCGGGACAGAAAATTTCGTTATAAATTCATAACTTCTTCGTTTGACATCCGTTCTCGCCTAACTTTTTATCGCTTTGATACTAACAACGAGATCTTCGATTCTCGTTTAGATCACTAAGGCTAAATATCGCTCTAACGTAAATTTCACTTTTACGTTAATCAGCGTTGCCGGTTCTGTCGCAAAACTTCGACAGGTCATAACTTCTTCGTTATAACTCGGATTTCGGCATTCTTTATATCTTCGGAAACCTTGTTTCAACTACTACAACATTATCTAAAGCTATCAAGTTTATTTTACACATAAATTTTGACGCTTATTTTTTTATTCTTAATTAATCAAACCACATAATTAAGCAATTAAGCACAAAACACATAATACTCAAATAATACACTTCTATTATTTCAAAACGGGTTACAAAGGTTAACCTAGACTATCACATTGCTAAAAATAGCAAGCCCGGAAACACAGGCGTTACAATTTGCATTTTGAAAGAGCTTTCCAGAATTTTGTATTGCAAAAACAAAGTATAAAGGTTGTGCATATTTTCCAAGTAGCAACAACGGCTGATCACCTACGCTACTTGAGAAGAAACCATGCAAGGATGCAACTGTATGTATTAAAAGAGTCATAATCTTTACCTACAATGTGCCAAAAACATCTCAAAATTGAGAATGTATAAATCAAAATTAATGGCACAATACAAGGGTTTCTAAATGATTCATAAACTTTCCCCTGATATCATGACAATAAAAGGTCTTAAGGTGATGATCTCGGCCTATCTATTGGCAGTTAGACCATACAATACAATCCTCAGCAGCGGCTAACATTGCACGAATTAACACATTAGGCCTAACTAAACATGCGAGCCAACAGAGCATAGCTCAATAATAGCAACTATGCGATGTCGGAAGCACACAAACCCTAGAACAAGGGAGTGTGCAGTAGAATAGCCTATCTTCAACGAAATCATAAGACAAATCATAGCATATGTGTTCACATGCCACAACCATGTGTATATATACAAAAAGAAAACAAACGTGAATACTTCCATACAAAGTACAAAACAAAGTACACAGTTTATGGTGGCTAACATTCATTACTATACACATAATACATAAACAGGCAACTACACAACAGGCAAAAGGGAAAAACACAAATCAGCCCTCAGAATCTGAGAAAGAACCTCCTAGATTCGGCCTTCCACAAAACTGGCGGAAGCCTTCATAATCCAACTCTCCCAAGCGAAAGAGGCTCGCAAAATCCATCTCAGCCAGGGACGATAATGCGGTATCCACCTTTGCAACCCTTCTTGCAACATTGCCAGGATCTAGGACTTCATATGCCTCACCAACACCCCGGATCCCGCTGGAAAATTTTGCGCTCTCAATGACCTTTTCAATTACGTGAACCACCCACTTCTCTAGCATCCACTACAAATTACCTTGAGCGACCGTTCCATCCACACGAGCATGGACCAATTGACATTGGCACGTGGCCAACCTACTCGCCAACATGCTTTTCTCCTGAACAAGAGAACTCACCTGGTCCTCAAGTCGCTCTGACCGGTCCTCCAAAGTGGCCACTTGATCCTCTAAAGCGGCCTTCTCGCAGGTCACAATACTATTTTGCTCCACAAGAATCTAGCGCCCCGCCTCTGAATCACGAACCTCCTCCCTCATGCCTACTAAGGCACCCTACAATACTTTCAACTGCCTCTTATTTGCACCAGCATGGTAAACCCGATCGACAGCAGCAACCATAAGGGCAGAGGCCTGGGCCGCAACATAACAAAGATCACCAACCATACGAGCACTTGATTCACCCGCAAGCGAGCTCATTGTGGCCGAAGGATGAGCGCGTCTACTTTACTCCTTGGTGGTAGTGTCTTCCGTTAGTAAGGAATTTATAGTAATCGCCCATCCTAGAGCGTAGGCCTCGAAAGATAGGGAGTGAGATGAAGTTCCTATTTCATCAATCAGGGAAGGCCTCTCACGTTGAAAAGAACCCCTAGGTGCACTCGGCGCACCCCCATACATGGTGCTGGAACCGGGATTAACCAAGGGTGAACCAACGGATGGTTATGGTGAGGGTAACGCCTCTGGAAAACTAGGCCCCACCACTACCTATTTCTGCTCGGTCACATAAAATTAACCGTCGAGAATACCCTCGATACCGCCAAGAAGCCTGGCCACAGATACAATTCTATGGGCTTTACGAGGACGAAGACTTACATTGTCGGATTCTGTCTCCTCATCCGACGATGGCACCACACGCACGCTTCTCCTTTTCCGAGTCTGAGCACTACCTCTTCCTACTTGTACCCCACAGGTAAACCAAAAAGAATAGAAACTGACGAACGAACTGGGGAAACGACCCCAACAGTCGGCTGGGAAGGCGACGCAAACCCGCTAGAACCTATATTTCCTCCTTCCACCAAGGTCAGTCCAACAAGCTCTCACATGCATATTTCAGACACAGGAGGAGGAAGAGCCTCTACAAGATCGATCTCCCAGTGGAAAGCTTGCCCTGATAGTGACCGCGCATAGCCATCTCCAAAGAAATATCGGTCTCAACACCTGCGAAAACAAACGACAAAAGTAAGATCTCACCAGCCAACAAGATATATTATCCTCACCCTGTTTTCAAAAAAGGGGGGAGAAGGAGAAGAGTTAATACCGCATATCATGATGAACATCTGCGTCATCTTCCTGTGAGCCCTCCAGGCAACACCCATACCGGCCGCTGCAGGAATGAAATCTTCCCAGTTCCTCCCAATGATAGTGATGTTTCCCAGCCATTTTCCAAGAGTCAGATTACTCCCAATCATCTTGGGGAGACGATCAGAAAAGTCTCGGGTTCTACGAGACCCGCTGATATGTGTATTTTTATATATATTTATGTATAACATATCTTAATATTTTAGCATTTATTATTATTATTTAGAACTAAAATAAACTTAATATGCTTTGAAATATTTAATTACAGTTAAAATGGGAGATGGAATGCAAAAGAAACAGAATGGAGCTGAAAAGATGCAAAAAGGATATTGGTGGCAGATTGACCCCTCTTCAGTGTTTCGGGTATATCTGATGACTCATAAGTAAAATTGATGAGGTTCAAAATGTTCTGAAAACTAGACAAAATTTCCTACAACTTATGTGAGAGGGACTTTTGGCTAATTCGACACTTATCTTATCCAAAATCGGCCTTGAAGATGAAGCATAAAAGCTGGACGGAAATTCCCTCCAAGTTACTTATTCCCCAAGCTCCACTTATCTTATTTTTATTTGCTTAATCCCTAAGCCACCATTAGTTTCCTTATTCCAATCCAACTCTAATATTCCATATAAATTCCATCTCCATCAACTATAAATACCCCATATCATTCCACCAATTTGAATAATCTATGATATTCCACTTCGACTTGTGCAACAAGAAAACTTCATAGTTGCCGTTTTGAGGGTCTAGGAGGTGGCCGAAAGGCCGTTAAGCTAACAGGCGCGGAGATCGGAAGGTGTAACACCCCCCCTCTGGCACGTATCACAATATTGTCCGCTTTGGGCCACTCGGCACGAGGACTTCCCAGGGGGTCACCCATCCCGGTACTACTCCCGCCCGAGCACGCTTAACTGCAGAGTTCTTATGGGATCTGCTGCCCTCACGGCTTTAAAACGCGTTGTGTTAGGGAAGGTATCCACACCCCTTATAAGGAATGCTTAGTTCTCCTTCCCAGCCGATGTGAGATCAGATCTAACCCACTTTCACCCCCATTATAGGGTTCGACATCCCTGTCGAACACATCGACCCGTGCCCTAGCTCTGATACCATTTGTAACACCCCCCCCCCTCTGGCACGTATCACAATATTGTCCGCTTTGGGCCACTCGGCACGAGGACTTCCCAGGGGGTCACCCATCCCGGTACTACTCCCGCCCGAGCACGCTTAACTGCAGAGTTCTTATGGGATCTGCTGCCCTCACGGCTTTAAAACGCATTGTTTTAGGGAAGGTATCCACACCCCTTATAAGGAATGCTTAGTTCTCCTTCCCAGCCGATGTGAGATCAGATCTAACCCACAACACCCCCCTCTGGCACGTATCACAATATTGTGATACGTGCCAGAGGGGGATGTTACAAATGGTATCAGAGCTAGGGCACGGGTCGATGTGTTCGACAGGGACGTCGAACCCTATAATGGGGGGTGAAGGTGGGTTGCACCTGATCCTACATCGGCTTGGAAGGAGAACGAAACATCTACTTATAAGGGGTGTGGATACCTTCCTTGACACAACGCGTTTTAAAGCCGTGAGGGCAGCAGATCCCATAAGAACTCTGCAGTTAAGCGTGCTCGGGCGGGAGTAGTACCGGGATGGGTGACCCCCTAGGAAGTCCTCGTGCCGAGTGGCCCAAAGCGGACAATATTGTGATACGTGCCAGAGGGGGATGTTACAGAAGGGTTGTAGAGCGGATACGTGTCGGTAATCATATGGGCTGTTAACGTGACCATGTTTAGCATTCCATTGTGTTACTATTCTGTATTTAGTTTCTGACTTGGGTGTAAAAACCTTTTGCTTTGTGTTTATGATTGAATGAAGCTTTGATTATTAGACTAATTGCTATATTGAATAGTTTGTTTGTGTTTAATTTATCTTGCTAAGCTTGTTAAAAGATCCTTACGTATTAATGATAATTATTTGTTGTTAATTGTTAAGTGAATTGAGTTGTATGAACATATGCTTGATTGCTTGTCTCTTATGATTTTGGTGACCATCGAGATTATAAGTCTAGGAATAACGAATGTGAAACTAGGATTAACTTGGGAATAAGTAAGTTAATGTGTGAACCTTGTTTGATGACCATCCACAAGAGGTTAATTGAATGCCTAATTTGATTAACTATATTTGCAAGTCTTGCTTGATACGAACTGAACACTAGGAAGCATGTTAGTTTAATCAATTGATCACTGTTTGAATTGACTTGTTTGCTAAAGGATTAGTTATAGTGAACGCGAATCTAATCATTTTAGGAATCGGTGAACATGAATAAATGACTTTGTGTATGCAATTGTCTATGTTTTTAAGGTGTAACTTGTCTAAACCAAAGTACCTGAGGATATTTGTTTTCCTATTAGTTTATCGAGAGTTGTTAATTAATTATTAGTTTGAGATTTATTAAACTATTTCTTTTATTCTTTTCGTGTGACCTGTAACCTATAATCAAATATATTAAATTAATCCACCGTTCCCTGTGATCGACACCCTTGCTTATCAAAGCTATACTATACTCGATCGGGTTCACTGCCTGTAAGGTGTGGTTTAGATGCGATAAATTATGAATTATTAATAAAAAATTAGTGCATTAAATATACACATCAAGTTTTTGGTGCCGTTGCCGGGGAACGGCTTTCAATTAATTTAGTTTATTTGATTATTCGTTATTTATTTTTAGTTAGTTTTTTATTTTATTTTTTAGTTTTATTTTCGTTGATATCATTTCGCTTGTCGGGAAGGTTCTTGTTGTTATTTGCAGGAATTTGTGATCATACACATCGATTGGCTTTACCTTTTGCATTGGTTTCGAAATTGCAATCGATTAGGGAATTCTTGACTTGTTTAGTCTACTACTTTGGTGATTTGTCCAACTCAATCCATGAGGCGTAGTATAGAAAGGCGTATCGAGGTGGTTAAGTGGAAGACTGAACTCTTGCTACTCTTGACTAGTTGGGTCAACTCTTGTTCTTGTCACACCCCAAAACCGATAACGGCGGAATACGTTTCGGGGTGGAGGACGTAGTGTACAGTATCATCACAATTGCATAATAGTAAAAACAAGAAACATACAACCATTTCATTTACATAGTGAGTGTATTTACAAGTGTGTTTTGTAATGATCAACATACACCAAAAGTAATACAAAAATAATAGATGGATCTTGTATGCTCCACCTTCTCCAAAATGCTGCACCTGCATCTGTCTATCTTTGACCAGAGGATACAAGTTATTTTGAAAACGAATATCAACATAAAGCTGGTGAGTTCATAAGAGTTTAGTGTGAGTTTTCGTATAAAAGTATTAGAACCGATAGTATGAAAAGCTGAAATTTACCGTCGTAAGTAGTAGTAAAACCTAGAAAATCCTATGTTTTCCAGAAATGCATAGTAAGTGAACACTTTTAAGAAATATGTCATTTTCATCTTTGAAAACCATTTATCGTGAAAGTATAATAGTGACTCGCCAATAAGTAATGCAATATGGTAAGTTATACTTGAAGTCATTCCTTTAGTATTAGATACTTGTTTACTTCGGGCTATTAACTTTACCTTTAGTTTAGTATTTTAGTGCGGTTATAGTGTATTTCTTGTATGTTACCAATAGTGTGAGTAATAGCGGACCCCATGACCTTCCCGGTCATGCACAGTGTAGTGGGGTAGTGGAATCCCTGGACCTGTGTGGCTCGGACTGAAGTTAACAGTCGGGATGTAATAGCGTCTGCCCCGTATAGATCTGTACATATAGCGTTGTCTTCCTATCGGAAAACTCTGGGCGTAGTGCGTAGCGAATAGAGTATCTCGTAGTGGGTTAATGTGTTATCTCATGATTAGTGCTTTCTCTTGTATTATAGTGTAGTAGTCTTTTATATAACTCGTATTGTATTCTCTTATTAGTGTATAGTTTCATAATAGAGAGTATTATAGTGCGTAGAGTAGTAGCTAAAGCGAGTAATAGAGGCCTTAACTATACCTATTATAGTTAACTTAGTGTGTATGATTCTTGTCAGGTTAGTGATTTAGGCATCTAATGAAATAAGAATTACTCGTAATCCATACTAATATACAAGAT